ACATATTTTACTTTCTTTTAAATTTGTGTTTGTCCATTAGAGAAGTCTATACTAAATCATGTTTTTTACTCAATTTTTTACTTAAATTTGAGTTTGAGTTTGAGTCAATATTGTAGATGCCCTAAGGTCAAGAGTCCATAAAATCAATCATTGACAAAAATACTTTTAATGAAATAAGTTATTTAACGAACCTCCAGTGTTATCTAATTTTTATATTTATTACCACTATTATCATCACCCCACCGCCACCACCGTTACCTACTACTCACCACCCATAACCATCAACCAAAACCCACTACCACTATTGTCTAAAATTTTTACAAACAGTAAATTATAACAATATTAAAAATATAAATTGAGAAATATATATAAAAAACAATGAACTCAAAAAATATTGAAAAAATATAACTAGTGAAGTCTAAAAATAGTGAACTTTAATAGAATAAAACTTTTACTTCAGTTTTTTTTCACAAACAGTGAACTTTAATAGAAATAAACTCCTAGTCCTCTGTCCAAAATTTTCACAAATAGTGAAGTACAAAAATATTGAAATTTGAATTGAGAAACACATATTGAAAATAGTAAACTCAAAAATATTGAAAAAGACGTAAAATTGTGAGCTTTAATAAAATGAAATTCCCAACTCATTGTTTGAAACTTTCACAAACACTGAACTACAAAAATATTAAAAATTTGAATTGATAAATATAGTTCTTTTTGTGACACACACATAGACTTCATGGGTTGGGCTAGGCCTGCAAAATTTTTTTCAAGCCTGGCCTGGGTAGTTTAGATCCAAGCCTTTACCTAAGTGAGTTATCGGGTGGGTCGAACCGAGCTTTGAATAGGGATAAGCTACCCTCAACCCAACTCATGAACCTATTGGGCGGGCCTGCTTGCAGATTTTTTTATATACAACTTCATTTAAAATAATTAATATTTTTGTAATTTACTATTTGTGTAAATTATATTTTTGAATCAAAAGTAGAGTCAAAATGGATAAAAATTAAATAATTAATAATTTTATTTTTGATTTGGAGATGAACTACATCCAATAGAATGAATACGTGCCAACTAGGTTGACACCTACTCACTTATCTATCATTTGTATTACTCTACCCTTTAAAACTTATATGCTTAATACATAGAAAAGAAAACAATACATTATTTATAGTATCTAAATTTTTAAGACTTCAAATTCTGACAATGGAAAACTTATTTCAAAGTTTTAAATTTGATGGCCTAAAATTATAATTTTTTTTTTAAAGGAAAGGTGGACGGGCTGTGTGGGCGGGCTAGGCTTGGTAGGTGGGCTCTTGGGCTTGATTTTTCCGAGCGGGCTATTGGGACAAGTAATGAATTTGAGGGCAAGCCCAAGTTCTGTTTCTAAGGATATTAGGTTCGGCGAGACTATTTTTTTCAGGTTAAGTAACTGGACTCGTGCATAACCCGGCCCATAGACACCCCTATACACACACACACACATTCTCTCTCTCTCTCTTGCTTAAATTAGTTTCTCTCTTTTCTATGTTTTGTTCACCCACATACACACTCAAAAAAAAAAAACAGTGAACTCAAAAACAGTGAATAATAATGAACTCACTCAAAATAAATTTATTTTTTTTGGAAAATATCAATTTAAAAATATGGAAAAAATAGTAAACTTAAATGGGGAATGACAATTACAGTGAACTAAAAGATAATAAACACAAATAAATTGTGCTTAATTAATAAAATTTATTAAATTTTAATGATTTAGTTAATCAAAAAATAAGTTAATACATTTAATTTGAATTGAGAAACAATTATATGTTTATTTAGGAATTTTAATCCACACAGCAAGAAGAAACTCCTAGTTCGCTATCTAAAATTTTCATAAATAGTGAATCTTAATAGAGTAAAACTCCTAGTTCACTGTCGATGCCGACAACCAAATATGCTTCTGTTGCATCTTCCAAATATCCCTTAGTTACTATAGTTAGATGCACCTCAACATACAACAAAGCCCAGCATACTAAAAAATTGTTTTTTAATCTTGTAGTAGTTGTAAGTTCAAACTTCAAAATTCAAATGGTCCAGTTGGGTAGCACAGGCTACGACGCAGTTTCGTTACCAAGCAAGTGGATAGTCGCGGGAAAAAAAATCTTGAGTTAGCCAACAAAACAGCATCAAAAATCTCAAGGAACCTGTAAAAAAAACTAAAAATAAGAAACTAAAAATAAATAGGAGATGCTGAATATATACATGCATGGCTAAAACCTTATTATGTCTACAGTGTAAATATGTCAATCAGCCATGGGTAGATGTCTATGCCTGAATTTGAAACAATTACATGTGCCACTCTGCAAAGTACGTCAAAAGCAAGTCTAAAGGGGTAGGGATGTTTGATCATCTCAACGACACTAAAGTTTGAGAATGAAAATGAATGTCTTGTCATTTTGAGTTTTACTTCTTCAGCATCCGTACGTTTGTTACGAGAGTAACTCCAACCCAAGATACATTTATACCCAGTAGCTGCTTCATCCGAAGCTTCCAACGGTGACAGTCAATTTTTGTTATGAAAAAGCATTAGTCAGTTGTTTGCTGGATCACCCTCGCCATTTTTTGATTTGGTGCAATACTCACCATGACATATAAGTGTTACAAAACAAAATATTTTACTGTCTTTGATAATCACAAAGTTCCCCCAATTTTACGTCAACTAGTGAAACTTCAGAAAGCTATTAGAACTCATTACCGTGCATTACTCACCAGGCAAAGTCAAAGACGAATCATATGAATGTTTGTGTGTACTAGTCAGGATCAATTAAATGTCACTAATTATTCAGAGATCAAAATAAGATAAAGAGCAAGAATTACTTGAAAAGCAGATAACTGAGTTCACGATGGATGGACACCGGTTCTTCCACTTCTCCTTCAGTCCTAGCTTATTTTCCTTCGTCTTGAACATCATCAAAAACCTTTCTCTGCTATTATCTTTTGCTCCCCCCCTCTCTCCCCCTAATTGCTTCAACCCCCCCTCTCTCTCTCTCTCTCTCTCTCTCTCTCTCTTCACAGGGTGAATTGCACTGTTTGACCCTAAGGTTTGCCACTTGTACTTTTGTCCTCAAAGTTCTAATTTAATCAATTTCATCCTCCATGTAAACACATTGACTGACTTTCGTCCTTGCCCCTAATCGTCATCCAAAAGAGTGACGGAAAAGGGTACGTGAGCAGCATGTGATGGAGTTAGAAGGCCAATGTAGTCAATTTAGGTTACTTCCCACCCATTTAAATGCATACTTGCCTTGCCCTAGCTACCAGTCGAACTATATACACCAAAAACCAGTCTAACGAATATGATTGACGAAGACGAAGACGAAGAGCAAGGGAACATTTAGGCGAAGGAAGAAGAACATGAAACATATGTCTTGCTATTGTGGGAGAAGGACACATATGTTTACTTCAGGGATAGATCAAAATCTTGGTAGGAGGTTCATTTGTTGTAAGAATCGTGCAATAAATTTCAGTTGGTTTGTTTTGAATTACTTCACTTTTTCGAATGTTGGGGCATACTTTTGTTTTCTGTTGCATACAACAAAGTGGAGGGTATGAGTATTTTGAATGGTATGACACCCTCTCTTGTGTAACTAGTCGAAGAACATTATTCCTGACTTGTTGGGGAAAATCAAAAGAATGGAAGCGCAGTTGACAAGAACTTGACACAAAGCAAAGGTGTTGGGGATCTTGGTAATTCTAACATGTGTGTTGGTGTTGATGAACTGGCAGAACTCAAGTGTGAACAAGAACAAAGAGAATAATCTTGCACCTGGTTACCAACTATGAAATTACGAATCTCATTTGGTGTTTGGTTAGTCCGAAAGGATGTGTTGTTTATGTAATATGGTGTTTTGTTTAGTTCAGAAAGATTTGTTGTGATATCCAAAAGGGTGTGCTGTTTATGTAATTGATAAAAGGTATTTGTGTCATTTAATTATGAATGAAGTTCTCTTATCTTCATTTCCAAAGACCTACTTCTTTGTTTGGTGGAATGTACTATGTAAAATAGAAGAATACAAGAGCCCAAAGAGGTGTACATAAACAAAGAGTGGTTTATATCATTGACAAAAAAGTGGTACATAAACAATGTTCAAAAATTAAACCACATAGACAATATTCAATATACCCAATTCTATTACTTTGTCTGCAAAAACAACCAATTCTAGTGCATATTCAAAATCAAGGACAACACATTATTAAATGACAAAAGTCCTGTATTGTACCCCTTTCCCCTTGGTCTTGATACCACCATTATCTGGATTCCCTCCATTCTTCCCTTTTTGTACTATTGATTGAAGTGATGAAAGGGTTCTACAGCTCTGAGCTTTCCACAAGAATGGTGCTGGATTTAGAGTAGAATGAGGTGGTATGAACTGTTGTGATGATATTGATGGGATGACATTTCTTCTGACATGAATAGAATGAAAATGCAACTTAGAAGTGTTGCACATACTCACGTGATGATAGTTAAACATGTAAAAAAAGTGTGGTAACTCACCTTAAACCTGTGTCACATGATTCATCCCCAATGGTGTGCGCTCTCAGCTTTAAGCGCAAGTTCGCGCTTTGGCAGCGAATTTGCTATGAATTCGCAAATTCATTTTTCAGAATTCGTGAATTCAAGTTTACGAATTTACAAATTAAAATAACCAAATTTATGAGTTTAATTAAACAAATTTGCCGAATTAAACTAATAAAATTTCCATATTATTATTATCAAATTCGACTCTCTAAAATAATATTCACAGATTATAGGTGCGTTACCATACTTGACACAGAATATTGAGTTCCCAAGACAATTAAATTGTTAAAAAGTAATAAACTAATGGAGTCAAACCATCTTCTAAACCCACACTTTTAAAAAAATAATAGAATTTGGGGTTTAGGTTTTTTAATTGGGGATTTGAACGTAGCAGAGTGTCCTTCATCACTTCTTCCAACAAAGAGACAAACCCTCCAAATTCCAAGGTCCACTCCCGGCCACAACCATATGTCTACGGTGTAGCAGAGTGTTCTTCAGTTTTTCTTCTTCAAGGTCAATACTAGAGAGTTCTTCCGGTGTGTGATTCTTACGGGTTTACACAAGTGAAAAATACTCTCCATTTGATAGGTATCTCTCTCTCTCTCTCTCCATTTGTTTCTAGTATTACTGTAAAATCAATAAAATCAGTATTGTTATCAAGCAAATCTCCTGTCCATGAATTTGGGTTTTTATCCCAAGTTTTTAACATTTTATTCTATTTTTTAGGATCAAAATGAGGGAAACTGATGAACAAGGTGAAGATTATCAATCAACTGATGATTTAAGTGCTACCCCACTAAAAACGTATGTGGCAATGGTTGGAAGTAAAAGAGATAATTTTGGTTGTAAATTGGAACCTTATATTGGGACATATTCTCGTATTCGAGCACATTTAATGGGATTGCTTCCTGGGCAAAGAAAAAAAAGAGTTGTTTTGTGTCCAATGGTAAGCAAAGATGAGAGAGAAAAGATGAAAGAAGAAGAAGAAGAAGTTAAGAGACTTTTTGGAAATAACTCTCGTAAGAGTTCTCTTCCAAGTTTACCTTACTGTTCCATTGTCTTGTAGTACAAATGCAGGGAGTAAATCTGGTTCACAAAACATTGGTGTTTTATTCAAACTTTCTTTGAGAGAGGAAACAGATAGTATAATTGCAAGGCGTTTTTATGGTTGTGGAATTTCTTTTAATGTGGCAAGATCACCTTTTTGGGCTGATGCAGTGAGAGCCATTAATAAAGCATCCAAAGGATACAAGGCCCCAAGTTCAAAAAAAATGAGAACCATATTGCTTGATAAGGACAAGACTAAAATTGATAATGCTTTAATGCCTATAAAGAATCATTGGCCCAAATATGGAGTTTCAATTGTGTCAGATGGTTGGTCAAATTGTAAGAATCAGACTCTAATTAATGTGCTTGCTGTATCAGGGGGTAGAACTATTTTTATTATTGTTGTGGATTGTTCCGGGGATAAAAAAATTGGGCAGTATATTGCTGAAATTTTGCTTAAGGCTTTGGAAATGGTGGCAACCTATAGTGTTGTGCAAATTTTAACAGATAATGCATCTTCTTGTAAGGCAGCAGGGGATATTATTCAAGCAAAACATCCTCATATTTTTGTGGTCTGGTTGTATGGCTCATACACTTAGTCTTCTCATGAAAGATATTGTAAATTCATTGCATACATCTTTAACTTTTATTGATGAGTGCTATGCCAAGGCAAAAGGGGTGGTGGATTATATAAAAAATCACACTTTTGTCCTATACATATTTAGAACCTTTTCTTCTTTAGAAGTGATTCAAGTGCAAAAACTAGATGTGGGCATCATTTTATTGTGCTAGATCGTCTTTCTCGGGTTAAAAATGTTTTGATTAATATGGCTTTGAGTGAGGAATGGGATTCTCTTAGAAAGGGAAGTTCAAAATCAAAGTTGGAACATGATTAAGTCCAAAAGGTTGCGCTGGATGATGGGTTTTGGAAAAATTTAAAATATATATTGTCATTCACAAAAACAATTTGGAACATGATTCACTTTTGTGACTCGGATAAAACAGTTGTTGGGGAGGTTTTTCAAAGAATGGAGGACATGCTAGGGTATATTGAAGAAGCATTGTCTAACAATATTGAGATGTGCAAAGTAGTGGAAGCTTTAGTAATCGCACGATGGTGAAAGATGAATCTTCCTTTGCATACTCTTGCTTATGTGCTTACCCCTTACTGTTATTCAAATTATTATTTGACAAGTGTAGGTTCATGCAGAAGCAAAAGGATACAGCTTCATGCAAATTCATTTGTCCAAGGTGCTTACCTAAATGTTGTTGATCCCCTAGTTAAAGATCCTTGAGAAGCACCTTTTATTCGCCAGCAACTTAGTGATTTCACCGATGATGAGCATGTTTTTGCTCGGCCTCAAGCAATTGAAGACAGAAAAATGATGAGTGCAGTGGGTTGGTGGAATTTATATGGGGTTACTTCCCCTAAACCGTATTCTTTAGCAATCAAAATGTTATCTCAAAGTGTTCAAACCTCATGTGCCGAGAGAGTATGGAGTACCTACGGAAATATCTATAATGTCAAAATAAATAGATTGAATTGCAATCGTGTTGAATATTTGGTTTATGTTCATTATAACAATCGGTTGTTGACACGTTACAGGGAGGACTATGAGAAGTCTTTAAAAAATTGGGATAAGTTTGCTTATGAAGATGATTTGGACAATGGCTTGGAAACCATTTATATGAGAGAACATGCTACCCTGTATTCCAATGAAATTGATTCTTCAGGACCTCCTCCAAGCAATGCAAGTGCAACTTCTAATGCCCCTTCTTCATTTTCTACTCGAGGAATTTCAATAATTTCTCAACCAAGGCATAGGGAAGAGATTGCAAGGGCAAAAAGGTCGAGGAATCAGTTCTTTTAGTAATTTTTTTTTGAACATGTTAATATTTTGTGACTATTTTGAAACTAGATTCAATCTATAGTAGTCCTGTGATTTTAAAGGCTTATTTAAGCTTAACTGTTACTATTATACATGACTATCATTTTGAAACTTTATGATCAATACACATAAAAATTTAGTAGCTTGTCACATTTTTATGCCTAGAATTGAATTTTTTAAATATGTTATTATTTGCTTATAATATATATATATATATATGTGTGTGTGTGTGTGTGTGTATTTAAAAAATATGATGCTCTCATGCACGCTCTCGCTCTAAGGAATTTTTAAATTTTGCTACTCTCGCGCTCGCACTCTTGCTCCCGCTCCCGCTATATGTGATCTAGCCTGTAACTTTTCTCTCTTATGTAACTGAACACCTTTTCCAACCCTAACACTTGCATTTGCAACATTTTCTTTGGTAGCTGTGTTTTCACTCCTATTCCTAGCTCTCTGTGCAGAAGCTGTGTTTCCACTCCTATTCCCAATTCTCTTTGCAGCTCTTTGTACAGAACTTGGACTGGTCCCAGAACTTTGATCAGCCCCAAAACTTGGATTAGTCCCTGAACTTGTCCGTCTCACATTTGCCCTACAACTTCTTTTGTTATGTCACCTCAATAAAATATCGAATTTTCTTAGTTTTGTGAGATTTGGATTGCGATTTGTTGGCTCATCTAGTTCTCTTCTTCTTAGTTTCTTTAGTCTGCCTGGCTGCTTATGGTGAAATGGAGGTAGAGGAGGAACTTCATTTGACTTAGCCCATAGCTTGGAGCCATTTATTAGATGAATAATGTTCTCGTAGGCCTTAAGGTAAGTGTCCTTATACTAGTCATCAACAAAATCCTCAAGTTCATATCTTTTTGCAATTGCCTAGATTGTTTGTGAGCAAAGGATGTTAGTCAAATCCCATTTTCTACAATCACAAGTATGTTCATTCATATCCACAACAAACTGATCTCTATAACAGTGCCTAACCTCAAATTGTGATCCTCCAGACCAATAAGCAATGCAAAAAGAAGCTTTTTCTTGTTCTCCTCTAAAATTTCCTAGATTTTAGGGCATGTCTTGCCCTCCCATTTTTTCATTACATCTCTCTCTGCAAACAACCTCCTTTTCAGTAAACCCCTTATCCTCTTCAGCATTGCTATAATGAGTTTGTCTCTTGCCCCAATTATATAGGCATTGAAATATTCAAACTGTTGTTCAGAAGTAGGCCACACTTACATAATGTGTGAAAGTGTGACCTAGACCAGTTCCTTAGATGCTTATCTTCAAACTCGGCAAATGCCTGTGAATCTTCATTTTTCATTTTCATTATATTCTCATGAAACTAGTTTACATAAGCTGATCTTGCAGTAACCCAAACCATGTCCTTTAGTGCTTTGCCCTTGTGTTTAATCTTGAATTGTTTTTGTAGATGCCTAACACAGTACCTTTGTTTAACATCAAGAAGCAATTCATGAATGGCATGCATCAGTCCCTATACAAACATGTTTAAACAATTAGTTATGCTACATGTAAAACAAACATGTTCCAAAAAAAAAATTCATTTATCAAACATACCTTCTATTAGTCAGACACTATAATCCAATCACATGTATCGGTTATTCCCAGATCTTCTACTAGAATGTTTAGAAACCATGTTCAAGTTTTTGTTCCCTCCATCTCAACCACAACATAGGCTACTGGGTACGTGGTATTATTAGCATCTACACCAATTGCTGAGAGTAGCTATCCATTGTATACCTTTCAGATGACATCCATCAAACCACACCACATGCCTACATGCTTCCTTAAATCCCCTCTTCAATGATCTAAACATATGTACAATCTCTTAAAGCTATGTTCATATTCCATCTAAGACACATCATCCATTTTCATTGTTATAGTACTACCAAGGTTAGTCCTCTCGCTTCATCATAGTAATCCTACAGTTTAGCATATTGCTCTGCATGGCTACCTTCAACAATTCTCATAGCTTTTTCCTTTGCCCTGTAACATTAATGCCTAAAAAATTGAGCTGATACTCCTTCATTACCCGTTCTATAATTGCCTCAACATGCCAATTGGTATTCCCTTTAAAGTCACCCAGTTAAATATTAGCCAACCAATTAGAATTTGTCATTTGGTTCTTAAATGACCTACCACATATGTGTTTACCATAGAATGTTTTGACTTGGAATGTTTTGTTGTCATCTATAGCAGATGCATAAATCATCCACTTGCACTTTCTCTTGCAAACTGCTCTATCCCTCACATGATCATTTTCTTAAAGGTTATCTGTTTTCCCTCCCTAATTGAATTTTCCTTTACTGCTTCTTTGAACTCAACAACTAATACAAAAAGAATCTCCAGCTTGAACGTTGGATTGTTCATATCACTCTCAGCCCTAAACTCAGGATGCTTTGACATTCTCCTATTATTACTATCTTCATCTAATAATGAACCATCTATGCTCAACAGTTCATTAGATGGTGCATAATCAAACTCAACACCATCATTCTCTACATCACCATGGTCTGCTGATTTCTCCTTTTGCACACCATTCCTAATGTCAGTCACACCTGCTCATTCAACATATATGTTAACATAAGCATCATACATTTTATCATCTTCTTCTATATCATATTCCCTATTATGAAAATCAAACCCATCAAAAGTTTCATTGTCTCTCTCAACCCCATTCCTTCATTCTCTTTTTGATCCCCAATTGTTGCATTGTCTCTCTCAACCCCAATTCTTTCATTGTCTATGTCTACCCAACACTTCCATTCTCTCTATCAACTCCAAAATTATCATTGAATCTATCTACATTGCTTGTGTCCTCAGCACATTCATTCACTTCTTCCCTATTTATATCAACCTCTTTATCAATAACTTTAATTAGCTCCAGCAAATATGGTTGCTTATTATTTCTTGTACTATATATAGTAGTTACTTGACTTTCCTGTAAACCATTCAAATCTTCATCATTGATCTCCTCAATAATAGCACAATGTCTAATTCCAATATCTACATCATTTCCTACCCCTTCCTCATCAAATACATCAAACAGTGACCTATGTTCAATGTATACATCAACAACTATGTTGGGATATAGAGAATTAAACATTGTGAACATTTGAGTATCGGTATACAGGAAAATCAAACCATAGTGCTTCCAGCCGGTCCAACCCCAGTCCCTGACAGTTTTTTCATTTTACCGGAAAAAAGGTTCACTTTATTCATGTTTTCTCAAAAATTGAGCACACAAAATTCACTTCACCCTCAATATCAGGTTTGAGATTTTTCCTCATATATAACAACTAAGATATCTCAATTGATAAATAGTTTTTAGGTTACTATTTGGAATGGGATAAAATGTATTGTTTCGAGACTAACAAGGATGAAAAATAATGGACAATCACACTATGCAATGGCGAAATGAAATAACAAAGAAATAATGAAAGAGGATTCCTTTATTAATTAATTCAAAGAGACTTCAATTATAAAAGACTAAATAAAATAACTTTGATTACAACACTTACTCCTAAGACTAATCTAAAAACTATTCCTAATAATGCCTAGATCATGGGTCTTTTGGAGATTTGAGTGTCTTTATCTTCACCACCAAGTGCGATTTTATAGCCATTATCAAAAAAATGCCCCCTCATTTAATTGGGTTTAATCAATAAACCGAATAAATGAACAATCGTAACCATTGTTTTTCCAAACACCTACTTACACAATTTGGCGGTTGTGCTGTTCATTTCTCTTCGTCGTTTCTCATCTCTTCTCTTACTCTGCTTCTGGAGATTCTTATTTTTTCATATTCAGAATGGGTCCAAAGAAACAAACCCTTCCATCTTCATCTTCATCTAAAATCTCTTTCTTTCCTAGATTTCCTACATGCAATCCTTATGAAGCCTACTTTCAACAACCTTTCAAACTACTCTTTGACTAGAGTATAACTTCAATGGCCATCCTTCCAGGTGGTTTTTTAGGAGGATGTAAGTTAATTGGTAGTCTATGCTCCACCAATGATCTGCCTAATCTAGGCATTTCTTCATAACTCCATGAAAAATAGTTTTATCCCCTAGATTAACTTCCTCCATAGGGTCTTGGACATCTACCTTAAAATCATCCAACTTCACAGGTACAGACTAAAGATTCTCCACTCATATGTTCTAGATTATGTTTTTTGGGCTACTTTCTAGCACCCATTAAGCCTAATCGACATAGGCATCACTTCATTCATTCACTCTTTTCTCCAAGGTATATGCAAATAACCTTTTCAATGTGACTTTAATGGCAGTTATCTTCCATTCTAAAACTTTTTACATGTTCTATCTATCAATTTCTTTGAACTCTTTGCTTTCAAGCCTTGGATATAGAAAATCAAGCTTGGCCAAGTCATGACAATATATGATATAGACTTTCTTCAACATATTTGTTGAATTGTCTTTTGTAGTTGCTTTGCCCAATTGACGTCAAGTCCTTATGATATAATTGAGCTTCCATATTGTGATACACAACCATTGATGTGTATCTAATCTCTTTCTAGAAGAGGATTGAAGTTGGATGATAAATCCACCACAAATAATGTTGTTGTTGACCTCCTATTGCCTACTTGAATATGTACAAGCAATATTCCCCTTGTAGAGGATGACCCTCTAGCAAAGTTGATGGCTGTTATGTCAGTGTGAAGCAGGTCTTCATCTCTTTTGTTCAATACTTTAACATCCTTGAAGGTAGGATGTTGACCACTACCCCATTGTCATCCAAAACTTTAGTTGACCACCAATGTGGGCTTGTATATATAGTGGTTTCAAATGTTTGACCATTTATTTCTTGGGGGAATGTAACACCACTTTATCTACCCCCAGGCTCCTTGCTCTACACTTATAGACCTCCCATGAGGTCTGGGTTCATTTAAAGTTTTTGTGAAGACTGTCATTGATTCAATATTGTCTTCTACTTCTCATATCAATAAATTTGGTTATCTTGGATTAGCCTTAAATATCTCAGGTAGAGCTACAATCATGTTACATACTATATTATCTCTGAGAAGAGGTTCTATGTTCTCAAAATCTATAACCTCCTCATCTAATAGCATTTCTTTATCCTCTTTTACTTTTTTTTTCCCTTTTGCTGATGGTTTTATGGTATCTTCTCTAGTTCCCCTTCAGACAGATCTAGGATTTGTTTGAACTCAACAATTTTATGATTGACGATGTCCTTTTTTATCTATACTTCTTTGATATATTTTTTTTGTTCTCTAGTCCATGTAAGATTTTTTGTTTACTCTATTGATGGACCTGGTTTTGAATAGGTCACAAGAGTAGGATCTCGGTTGCTCATCCAAGTGGCAAACTTCCTTTGTTTCCTCATTTTCTAAGTCTTACTAAGTGCTTGGTACCATGATTCAGAAGGGAATTTTCAACGTTTAACATGGTGCCATTTTTCATCATGAATTTCAGGAGAATTTATTGTTCTGGATCCAGCCTTTGTAATAACTTCAAACCTCCATTTTCTTTTCTAGTTTGGCTTTCCTGATGTTCTTGTTTTCTATTTTTTGCCAAACACTTTCCCTGGCCATCAATGGTTCAACAAAATGGTCCATCATTTGCAGTCATTTCCTCTTGGCTTGGCTTTGACAACTAGCGTTTCTTGGGGTGCTTTGATTCTCAAGAAAATAATAAGGACCGTGCTCATATTGATACCTTTCTTGGAGTTAGAAAATCCCTAGGTTTGCACCATGAAATATTTTCTTATTGTCATTATAGATTTGGATATCTCCTTCTCCACTGGTGCTGAATTGGAGACCCTTATCTATAAACTCTCTAACCACATCATCTAGTAGTACAACATCTGATTTGGCCATTTCTTTGACACACTTAAAGAACATAACCAATGGCTCTTCCTCCTTGGAACCAAGCCTGCTATGGACTGGTTTTCTCATATTGGGAACATCTTTCTCATTGCCACTAACAATTTTCTTGTTCTCTTGCAAAATTTGTAGACACCATATGGATATTAACTTATTTAGGGAAAGGATTATTGTCCATACCCATGGTTTTTCTTCTTCTTTCGAAGCATATATAAGCATTCCCTTTTGGATTAAATCCTAAACACAATTTTTAAAAGTAATGCAATTCTTAGTTGAATGCCTAAATGAGTTATGCCATTTGTAGTGTTCTTTTCATTTTCTATCTTTTTTTGGTGGAATATTATGTCCTTGAGTCAGGACAATAAACTTTTGATTGATTAACTCATCGAATAGAGTATCATTCATTGATAGATCAAAGGAATACTATCGATAGATAGAGGGTGCATCCTTTTTGAAAGGCTAGGTAGATAGCTTGTTCACATGATCCTCAATCTTTTTCAAGATATCACACATAATTGGTGACTTTTAAATGATTTGTGCTACATCGATTTAAATTTCTCTATCGAAGTCTTGGACATAAGTCCCAAGTGAACTATTTTTTTGCTATTGCTCTTCTTTTAGCAACATCTCATATCTGTTAGCCCTAGATGAGTGTTCAATGAGATCTCTAAACTCCATTCCTTCAAATTTCTTTCTTAATTCAAAATCTAAACCATTATGGACTAGTTTAACCAATTCAACTTTAGGCAAGTAAACATGACATTTGTCTACCTTTTTTTTTTAATCTGTCAATATACTGATCAGTAAATTCATTTGATTTCTTCCTTAATTTTGACTAATCTACCATTGAAACCTCTAGTTCATTCCTAAGAATTGAGCATGAAGTTGTTCTTGCATTTCTTACTAAGTTTGAATTGAATTGGCAGACAAATTGATGAATCAAGCGAAGGTTGTTTTAGTTAAAGATTGTGGGAATAGTTTCTTTTTTAAGTTCCTACTATTGCCAACTTCCCCACACTGGAAAGTGAATCTACCTATGTGCTCTATGGTTGACTAATTTTCTTCACCAGAATAAAGGCGAAATTCTGGAATTTTATATCCCCTTGAAAATTCCTCAAAATCAACTCATGATGGATATGGTTTCTTAAACACAAACCTTTTTAGTTTTTCTAATGTCAGGTCCATACAAATCTTAAATAATTTCTACCAATTTATTTCTATTAAGAGTCATGTTATTGTGGCCTTCTAAATTTTCAAACTAGTCAAAAGGTTGCCCCCCTGGCCTTGGGTTAAATTCCTTTATTGGTTTCAAGGAGGCATAACTTGCCTTGTACGACCACTTCTAGGGAATTCAGGGGCCATCCTTGGCTTATTTTTGCCCCCAAGATTCATTCCTAGGAAGAAATTAGGGAACATTTCATCAGGTTCCCCATCCAACACCATATTAAAGTGATTCTGGTGTGGTGAGCCTAGTCTCTCGTTGGTTACCATTTGTAGTGGCCTCTGATTTTATGTAGGAAGCACTATAGGGTTGGCATTTCCTTTTTCCAACGTATGATTTCTAATGATAGTGGTTGATTTCTAGTTAATTGGTCCTAACATTGGTGTATAGACACTCATTAATTCATTCAGACAATACATGTTTCAAGTTTTGCACAAATTATTGCATCTATAAATTATTGTGGCCATATGATTGGCCATTTTCAGGATTTGCATATTCCACTAAGTTGACACTTGAACTTGCCTCATGATTGCTATTATTTGGCATCATTGTCATAGTTTCATTTCTTTCAGTATCAAATACGATCTTGGCTTGCTTCCTTGCTCGAACCATTTTTTTATCCAAGTTAGCAATGTTGTGCCACTAGGCATGCCAAAAGATTGTTGTTCCAAAATTTGTTGGGATCAATAGAGCTATCACAATCGATAGATAGTTTTCAAGTGACTGTTTGGAATGGGTTCAAATGTCTTGTTTTAGGACTTTCTTTGATGAAAAACAACTAACAATTACACTACGCAAAGGCAAAATGAAATAACAAAGAAATAACAGAAAATGATTCTTCTATTAATTCAATTAAAGGGACTTCGATTACAAATGATTGAATAAAACAGTTTTGAGTACAACACAAATTGTTCCTAAAACTAATCTAAAAACTCTTCCTAATAATGCCTAGATCTTGGGTCTTTAGGGGGTTTGAATGTCTTTATCTTCTCCACTAAGTGCCCTATGATTTGGAATCATTGTAAGGAGAGGGTTGGGGGCTTTGTTGAGACGAGATTGAACTTCTCAATTTCATAGAGATTCAACTAAATCAAAAAAGTAATTTATAGATATTATCTTTGATGGTTTTACTTCGGTCAACGGTTACTGATTGTTAACTCTCAGTTAGTTATTTTTTCCTTTTCAAATGTAGTTATGGTTGATCATTTTCTACCTTTATCCAAATTCTATCATGTGGCATTTTCACAATAATTTTGGATTGTCATATGTTAATACATTGAATATTTCTAAAATTGAATATTTTATTATATATATATTATATTATATATATATATATATATATATATATATATACACACACACACTAACTAGTGTTCGTGCCCTTGCCTAAAGGCACATGTGTAACACCACAAAAAAATTAAGAAAAATATTGCAACATTTTGACACCGACGCTTCAACCAAATCATTTATTGAGTTATGACGTATATTCAAGAACCCTTAATATCAGAGTATTGCAATCAAAACTATGCTACAATGAAGGGAAAAGAATCTACCAAGGACAAACAATAAAGCAAAAAATATTCAATTTCAATCGACCTACTCCTTTATAGTCCGAAAAAAAATTGGTCTACTCTTTCATAACCCAATTCAAAAATTCAAATTCTGTATAATCGTGCGACCGAATTCAAGCCAAATCAACTCACTTCTATACATTTGAATACTGTCTAATCAAACTTCTAAATTCCATCTGGTGTGTTGTAGAGAGTTTAACTGGAAAATGATGTTCTAAAATTAACAATGTTATTTAGACATAATTTACTAACGTAATTAAATTCACTCTTAATCGAAAGTGGTGGAATATGTATGTTATATGCATGGTGCTAGGGGAAGCAATATTCTTCTGCACAAAAGGACTATTTAAGTCTTTTTGTGGAGGCTTATTAAGAGCCTATCTAATAGTGGCTTCCAATAGAATTCTCCATTTTATATGTTAAACAATACCGAAATAGATAGTGAATTCGACTCTCTAAATGCGGAGAGCCGAATAGAGATGTGAGTGAAAATAAAAAGTCTATAAGTGATGCTTTTTAATTTTGCATGGCAACAATACTATTTAGACTAAAGTTGTTAATTTAATCCATCAAAACCCCTTGATTGAAAGTGGTTGTCAACTAATGTAGGAGCTTATCGTCAATTCAACGTCAATAATTGACTCTATATTTGACATATTTATCAACTAGTCATAACCTGTGTCTAAAGGCACGATAAAATATAAAATTTGAGTGTCTAAAAAATCGATCCCATTATATTAATTTTTTTCAAAAAATATTAAGTACAAATTAATCAAATATTAAATGATTAAATATATGATGAAAATGAGTGATGTGATATTTTTAGGGAATAAATATATAAATGATTAAACATATGATAGAAATAAATGATGTGATTTGATGTTTGAGTCTGACAAAAGAATGATGGGTGAGGTAAATGATTTGTGATGATTTTGAGGGGAAAAATATGACTGGGATGAAATTCAAACACACTCATGTTTTATTATATAGATTTGGTTGTGGTTGGTGTAATTGAGCTTGTGGATTAAATGATTATAGTGTTGGGTTTGTTGTAGATATACATACATTGCATTCATTCATTCATAAGAGGTTGTTCTTGTGGGTAAACGGGGGTTCAAAGGTCCAATTGATAAATGTGTTGTTTAATTTGATAATTGAGGTCGATTAGATTTTAAATTGATGATTGTTCGAGTGATAATTTTAATAAACTTATTTATCTCCTCTAAGTTTTGTCTAGCAATTCCACGTGTATAATTGTGAGAGAAAATCCACTACAATCTACCTCTCCCCAACTAATAATAGTATTTAGGGCTAATTTACTAATATAAATTACTACCAAATCTATCACAATCATTACATTAGTGACGAATCCAAATAAATAATAAAACCTTATTGAAAGGCTGACATGCAATTTACAAGCCTACTTTGCAAAGCATATTCCTTGTTCTACTAGAAATTCTGTAACCATGCATATTGCAAAATAATTCATCATTTACCAATTGTAACCTTGATGGTTTTTGCTACAGATTGACAGTTAAAAATGAACGGTGCAGTGTGGAGAGGGAAAACCCCGAAATGAACGGGCTTCCTCTGTAAATCTCACCATTAAAGGTCTTCAAATCAGTAGTAACTACGAGCTGGTTGGGTTGGTGTTGTTACTCCAAAACCACAAACAAATCCAACTCTTTCTGGAACGTAAAAAACCCTTTTAGAAGCTCCACCACCCGTATCCTACACCTCCAACGCCCTGGCAGAGGACGCTGTCTGTTCCTCCACCACCACCGTTGCCTCCTATCCTTCTAAGTTCTAACACTTTATTGATTGTAGAAATTTTTTTTGACACATTTGATCATTTTTAGATTGTGTAGTGGTGAGACTCGTATGTATTAGGCCGCTGTTTAATAGTGATAGGAAGGATGGGAGAGCCACGGAATGAAGCAATGTCATTGTCATCGTCAACGTCACCGTACCAGTTCGAAACTAAGGAGCTGTAGTGTCTAGAATACGAGCCGCCCTTCTGAAGGAGCCAAAAAAGACTATCAAAGCAACTCTCCATGTGTGAAACGCGTCGTGACATCGCATGGGAGAAGCGGTGCCCCCAGATTTTTCGGCAAGAGCAGACGAAGAACGGCAGCAACGATGGCAACGACTTGACAGACGAGGACCTAAATGAGCTGAAAGGGTGCATAGAACTAGGATTTGGGTTCAACGAAGAAGAGGGACAAAGGCTGTGTAATACATTGCCGGTGCTTGACCAATATTTTAGGGTGAAACGTCAGCTTTCGACGAGCTCGGTCTCGACACCGGATAGTAGAGGTTCGTCGACGTCGCTTGGTGGTAGATCTTCATCGTTTGAAAGCCCGATAAGCGATGATTCATGGAAGGTTTGTAGCCCAGGTTAGATACGTGTTATTACAAGCAGATACATATCCCAGACCTAAGTCACCCTTGTATCAATCGTCCAATATTAAACAAACAGCAACGAGTGAATTAATGGGTGTAATTAGAAACTTTATGGTCCTACCAATAAGAGCCTATCAAGATATCTCTCAATGATCTCCTTTGACCAGCCCCAAAAAACAAATAGGCTAAAAAGATTTCACTAATTCAAATAACCACTTTTCATGTAGGATAGTAATTGTCACATATTCAAAAAGTGAGGTTCACTTATCTAATTTTTTTTTTTTTTAAAAATCATTAGGTAATTACATTATATGACAATGCTAACATAGTTTAACCGTTATACCCAATATTTGCTCTCGGAGGCTCCAAAGCTCCCAACCAAAAAAAACAAAAAACAAAAACCAAACACCAAATGACCCATTGAATTTATACTCATAATTCTGAATATAAATTTATGGGTAATTGTACATTAATCAAATAGTGCAGACTAAATGATATAACGGTCAATTGAAGTGCTCATTAAGAAATAATCGGATTTGGTGTTTGATTTTCAATTTTGCCCTGAAATTTTGCTTAGGTTACACTATTGCAAAGCACACTATCACATAATTTGATCTCATCTCTGTTTTATTTTTCGGTTCCGCAACTTCACATTTGCTCCGTTTAGTAGAAAGGATAAAAAATATGAGAGATACACTTTTAATCCTCTAAGTAAAGAAAATAGGAATGATACATTTTCTTTCCTTTATATTTGGTAAGATGGATAGAAAATAAAAATGATTATTTTTTTTCCTTGTTTAAATGAATTTTTTTTATATTTTTTAAAATTTTTATTTTTAATTTTTAAAAAAATATAAATACATATTTTATCATTGCATATATATATATATATATAAAATAAAATAGCTTATAATTCAAATCTCAAAAGATAAACAAAATAACTTTTGCTATTCGCGGTTGAGATCGCTTTAAATTTTCTTTTAAAATTAATCAACAGCTAATATTAACACCCTAAATTTAATAGGAAAAATAGGCCCCTAAATGTGTGTTTGGAATGACTTTTTAAAAGTACTTTTATAAATTATTTCTCATAAATACTTAAAAAAAAAAATTGTGTTTGAAACCACTCCACCACTACCTCTACCACCACCACTACCACCAACACTGGCACTACCATCGCCGTCGCTGCCACCATCACCGTTGCTGCCACCGCCGCCACCACTACCGTTGCCGTCACCACCACCACCACCACCGTTGCCATCACCACCACCACCACCACCATTGCTGCCACTGCCACCACCCTCGTTGTCGTCACCATCATCGTCGCTACCACCACCATCGCCGTCACCACCACCGCCACCGCTACTCGCACCAACATCGCCACCGCTACTGCCGCCACCACTATCACCGTCACCACCACCACCACCGTCGCCTCCACCGCCACCATTGTCGTTGCCACCACCACTGTCATCCCCACCACCACTAACACCACCACCATCCATTGTCGTCGTCGCCATCACCATCGCCGCCGTCACCACCATCATCGTCACAGCCACCACTACCACCGCCGCCACCGCCACCGCCGCCACCATCACCATCGCCACCACCGCCACCGTCACCATCACCGTCACCCTCGCTGCCACCACCGCCACCATGATCATTGCCACCCACTACAACCATCACCATATCTGCCCACCACCTCTCACCCCTATTATAAACTAATGCTTAAATTCTTTTATCTCATCTCGATATTTGTAATTTAATTTTGGATATAAATACAAATATGTTTATTATTTATCATTTTTTATTACTCTATGTCTTTAGGCATAGGAAATAGCTAGTATATATAATAAAGTAGGTTAAAATTCAAATCTTAAATGATAAACAAAATGACTATTGCTATTCAAGGTTGAGATTGCTTTAAATTTTACTTTAAAATTAATCTAATAACTAATATTAACACCCTAAATTTAATAAAAAAAAAAATAGAACCCTAAGAGTGTGTTTGGAGTGACTTTTTAAAAATAATTTTTAAAATTTATTTTTTATAAATACTGTTTAAAAAAATTTTGATTGAAATTGTCTCACCACTACTTCTACCACCACCACTACCTCTACCACCACCGCTGTAGAAAAATTTAAACTTTTTTCGACAAAGAACAAAATAGTAATTTGTCACTATTATGCGTGTTTAAAATACATATTTTTAAAGAGCTCGAATGGAGCAACGGACTTCTCCGTTGAATTTGTATCAAGAAATTGATCTACCATGTCAAATTTCGTTGAATTCTGAGATAGTCAGATTTTGCACGTTTTCCGAAATAATTGGGTGACGACTGAACTTTCAAAGGTCCCCAAAAATAAGAATAATGAAATTTCTTAATAATTGAGTAAAAGGTCAAATAAAATTAATTTGAACTAAAATCAAAATTTAATTAAGTCATTTCGGCTTAAAAACTGACCCGAAAGTAATAAACGAGCGGGGCAATTGTGAATCGTGAAATTAAAAGTATAAATAGGGCTAAATATCTGAAAAATCAGATATTTCTCAATCCTTAGTCAACTGAGTTCAGGCGTGTAAAGAGAAGAGAGCAGAGAGAAGAGGGAAAATATAAATTTCTACCTTTCTCCTCCGATCCAAGAAGTTTTGTCGGTCAAAATTACTTGAACCAAGAATTAAAGTTGGTCTACGCGGCGAGGGCTACACGTACGTATCAAGAATGAAGAATTTCATCAAAGTTTCAAGGAATAGATTTTGGAAAAATCAAAGGTTGGGGGCTTGGAAGTTGTTCTTGAGGTTTCTCCTTTTCTTTTATGCTCCAAGAGGTAGGGACTCTCCTACTTTTGTTCATTTTCTACCTATAGTGTTTCATGAAATGTATACATTAATGAGAATATATATGTCACTCACCTATGCAAGTGAAATAGATGAAATGAGATAGGTATGAAAGAGAGGTATTGAAATTGTTAAAATAGACTTTCTAACTTGAATTTGAGATGTGGTAATTACTTGGTAATTCCATGAAAAAGTGATTTTATGGGCTTGTTATATGTTTAATATTATGTCTTGTGAATGATGTGAAAAATATTGTGACTTGATGGTATTTTGCAAATAATGCCTAAGTGGAAATTAAGTTGTTATAGCATGAGTTATGTATAACAAGCTTGTGAATTGTTGATTTTTGGTGAATATATACATGTGACATAAATTGTCATGACATATGTGATTGAATTGCTCATTGGCATCATTACATTTTGGGCATGAAGTTGGCATCACACTCATGGGCTTTAAGCATGAGTGTGGGTGTGTATACATGATTTAATCAATACCACTCTTGGTGATTGATGTGTGGACTCAGAGATGTTGGACCGAAGATCCCATGGAGTCGCATGTTGCATAAGAAAAACTTGTGTTGGGTATAGCAAGAAGGGCTAGACACTCCCTGGGGTAAAAAACCCAGTTACTTGGTTCATACACTTCCCTGTAGTGAAATTCTATAAAAGTATAATGGTGTACGGAGTCAGTCGGTGTGATTCCAAAATCCGATACCCAATAAAGACACATGATTTTTAATACAAAATTTTCATTTGATGGGAAACATCCATGAATGAAATGATTTTATAAACATATAGTTGGTATTTCAAAAATGATCATTGGATGTATTTCATCAATGATAAAGGTTTTACACTTGCATTGCATAGTGTGGTGAGAGACAGTGAGGGCTCGGGCTGATGTGCGTGAGTGAATCTCATTTCATTCATGGCATGACATGATAGATTCCAACATGAATCAGGTATATTCTTGATTGGAATGATTATATGATTGTGAATGTTATATATGAACATTGCATATGCACTTAGGTTGGGGAGTAGCCTCTGTAGAAAATATTCTACTGGGTGTTGGCTCACCCTATACGGAAAATATTTCAGGTGCGGGATTCGTACCGAGTGAGGACTCGCATTCGGGGCCTCAACGATGAAGAAAAGCCAACTTGTGACTTTTGTGGCATATTTTGTGTAATCTTTGTTGGAACAATGTTTTAACATATAAAAATTATGCAAATGCATGTAATAGAACTTGTATGTATCATGTATAATGTAGAAAATGTCATTATCCATGTTTGGAATGAGTTTGGAAAGGTTTTGGATGAATTGGAAATGAAAATCTGATGAAGCATGAAATTCTGGGCAAAACCTTCCAGAAGGTCACAACAACCTTCCGGAAGGTTAGTATAAATTTTCTGTCCAGTAGGTAAAGCCTACCGAAAGGTTCATGCAATTTTCCATCCAATGGGCAAACCTTCTGGAAGGTAAGTAAAACCTTCCGGTAGAAATTAGTCCAGTAGGTAAAACCTACCAGAAGATCCATAAAACCTTCCGGTAGGAATTTTCCAGTGAGAAAACCTTCCGGAAGGTTCATAACAAAACCTTCTGGAAGGTTTTTCAAAAATTTGAAATTTTAAGAATGCATTGTTATACTCTTGGGCTATGTGTTCTTTGGTTCTAATGACACCAATGGACCTTAAATGAGATACATTGGAAAATATTGAACCTCAATGGGATTAAATGATAAAAGGAAACACCGATCCTCGTGTGAGTTGTAATCCCGATTACAGGGATATGATAGACGTGATGTTGGGTTATGCGACAATCACGGGTATTTCTGCGGGTTGACCGGTGGTCAATGGTATCCCCAAGTTTAGGGGAGTCACAGCTTGATATCGGAGCTTAGGTCGTAGATTTTATATTGGCCTTGTGGGAAATGAGTCTATCTTCTTCCATTGCAAGGGTGAAAGAGGTTGAGAGTCCATGGTGTAGCTTAGACTCTGATACCAGTTACAGCTTGCTATCAGAGCATAGGTATACGGATTACCTAGGACTTGATGGACATTGGGTCTAGACTATTGCATGCATTGTACATTTCATCTTATGTGCTTACATTTTGTTACATGATTACGTACTATATGACTATGTGCATTATGTACATGGTAAAATGTAT